ATTTCGTCATCACAGCTGAAAGACTAGCTGGCTCTGCACGTAGGCTAAGGGAGAATAAGAGCCCTCAGCTATAATGAGGGCACGCTGGTAGCTAATGCTTAGTCAGAGTCTGTTTCCTTTAGCCTTCGCTACTGCTTGTAGGAGTTGGAATGCAGGAAAAGGCAAAAATTAAAGGGAACATACTAAAAGTCAATGTTTACCCTCTCTATTTGTTTTCAGTGAAGATTATTTTTTAAGGAATGGAACATATGAAGCAATATGGTAACAGTCCTAAACCAGCTCTTCTACTATAAAGCCTTTACTTAAAGTAGCTTTATTTAATGTGACTATTTGTGAGAATAAGGATTATTTACATGAGTGAGAATCATAAAAGGCAGATGTAATTTTTTAAGTCTGGCAATTAAATGCAAATGAATAAACAGAAGTAGTTTAGTACGGTTATTTCCTTGTGAAAACTGATCTTGTGGGCTGAACCTTCATATAAGCAAACCAGCTTTCTCCTGACAAAGCTAACAAACATAGATAACTAGTAGCATTTGACATTACTTAAAAAACAAGAAACAAGGATGAATCTTCATATGTGGAGGAATACGGTGAGGAGCATTTATTTTTACAGCTTTTTCCTCTTTTGTACTTCCTTATGATGATCACATCTGTGATGCAGTGTAATCATGCTTTTGAACACAAGAATCTGCAAAATGTGAACATGGAATGATCAACAGAAAATGTTAACTGTGAACATGTAGTAATGTTCAGCCCCAAGTTAGCAAGCTGCTTTATTCAGGACTACATTTTGCTTTGTTATTCTGCCTGCAGAAAAAAACAGACCAACGACTGCGAACTTACTCTGCTATAATCAAGCCGATTCAGGCACACAACTGTAGGCACTACACCCATGCAGTTGCTGGTCTAAAGAAGGTCTAGATTTAACTTTCTCTGTTTAACTCACTGGCTGAACGCTGAAAAGAGTTGGCACAGATTTTTCTCAGGAAATTCAAACTTACACAAGCAGAGGAAAAACACTGTGAATGAGATGCTGCTGTGTGCAAAAATTCAGCTTGGGTGAAACTTTAACCCCTAAAAATAAATCTTGTTTGCAGTTCTCCCAAATAGGCTTTTCTACGCCACTCTGAAGGTTTAAGGCAGTTGTTAATCATGTACTGTACACAGCACTAAGCAGGAAAGTGTTCAGTTATTTCTGAAACACGTTATTTTGAGGCTATATTTGAATCCTCCATATTTATGCGATGAGAGTTATGTCACAAAGTTAATCATTCCCAGGATGCTAGCATTCAGGGTAATGAAAAACTTCTTGTGCAAGCAGTCATTAATCAGTGAGTATAACATTGCATAATGCTTTCTGAAGCATGTGTTATGTGATCAGAGTACAAGGCTGCATAATACAGCAAAGTGTTTATGCCATATGCTGACCTTTTCTAAAGCAGAAATGGAGCCATGTGATATCCTGCTCTTGCCAGCAGTTGCTTATTGCCAATAATTAAGTTTGATGATATGAAGAAACACAAACTTGTATTGCTTTAGAGTTCTAAAAGGAAGAAGCTTTGAAGTTTTTGGCACTGTGAAGCATAAAGATGGCCAACTTGGCTTGGATACACTACCGTTGTCCATTATAGGCACCACCCATCAAAACTGGAATCAAGTGCCCTGTTCAAGTGGTTACTGGCATTTATGTAAAGGAAAACAAGCGCATCGTTACAGGACTGCTTTATTATCCCAAAGAGCATAAAGGTCAAAGGAACAAAGCAGCCAAAAGCGTTTGGTACCTCAAATCTCAGTTCATCACAGTAACATTTGATGTTCTTGAGCAATAATGCTAGTAAGCAGCTATTACTTAATCCCCTACCAGTATTACACAAAAGTATACTTGCGAAATGCTTCAGATAAATATGCTGTAATTATACAAAATATGAAAACATGTATAGGACAAAATGTTTTTGTAACTTTAAACACAAATACCTGCACAGATAGGGTTTTGATGAGCTATTTTAGCAATGGAAGCAATGCTTTAGAAGCTTCCATGAACAATCTTAAAACTATGTGCTGCAAGCAGAGTGGACATACGGACATGCATTTTATCTATTATATATACATGCACACACAAAATGATCCAGATTTTGTCTCGTACACAGTTACTCTGTGCTTCACTGTTGGCAGATGAGTCTGTAGAGCTGGAATAACCAGCTTCGTGCCATTGCTTTAGCGCAGGGAAACATTCTGGCAGTGTAGCTATGCCACTGCTGCTCCTACACCATCTCCTCCCTGACTTGCTGGGGTTTCCTTTTACCTTACTGATAGCAGCCTGACTGCTTTGGGGAGCTGGTATAGAAAAGGGCAGCCAGATTTGCTCTTCAGTCCTAAAAGGTTCCATGAGTATTAGTACCTGTTAATAGCAAGCTAGTTCAATCATCGGACTGACTATACCTCATCAGTAGTTAAAGTCATTTCTCATATCCCTTGCTTACTTTTAAAAAGTATTTCTAATCTCAACTAATATTCCTAAAATGTAAAGCTTTCTAGAAGTGCAATCACAGAGGCATGCACCTAAAATTCCATCTCTGCAGGGACTGAGGAGCCCAAGTCCAAAATTTAGGTCCTCAACAGTCCTGCTTAGCTGTTGACATTCTGCTTTTCCCTTGGAAGTCACAGTCTTGACAGTATCAGACAATGGCAATCACGCTGTACCTAAGGCCTTCTAGGACTGACAGACGAAGCCTTCCTCAGCTAAGGAGTCTGACTCAGGAAGCACCTTCCCATTTGACAGACAGAACGCCCCATAGCACAAAGCAGATGTTGGGAAGGAGAGGAAAGCAAGCAGCTGTCTAGTCCTTGCTCCTGTACGTATTAATGAAATAGTGAGATACTCACTGGGTGAGGGACAGCAAGACAGGTCTTCCCTCTTCAAACCAAGAGGCTAATAGTCATTTTTGCCATGTCTCATAAGTTAATTTGAAGAGTAACTTAAGCAGAAAAGTTTCATCAGGAGTGACTAAGAGTATCCAGTGATAAGGTCACTCTAGTAGGAGTGTTAGGTTCAGGACAGTTCAGTGAAAGAAGGGAGCAGAAACTGAGTCGCTTTCATCTTTTGTGAGTACTCCAACTGTTGAGCAATCAGATAAATCAAGGGGCTGCAGCATATCCTCTTCACTTTTTCTCAAAAGGACTGATTTCAACTCAGCTTTAACAAAGAGGATAAGAGCCATAAACTCCAAAGTTTAGGGCCGTAAATCCAAAACAAAGACAGGAACTTTCTCAAGCACAAAGTAGAGAAGAAAAATGAGGCCTAAAACATATCCATGTCTTCATTTACCAACCAGTAACGTACCCTTCTCATTATGCTGTTTTTTGCGGATCCTGCCTCCTTTCATATGTTATATAGATAGCATAAGAACTATATTTAGCTATTATGATCTCTACTAGGGATTAGGGCCTAAAACTCAGATGCTGTAAAAAATACAGAAATATCTACATCCACTTTGTGGAGCTGCTCATAAAGATATCAGAAATGGTTACAATGAAGTGAATTGTAACTTAAACATACAACCTGAAAGCACTGGACAAAACAACTCTGCTATCCATCTTTTCCTACATCCACTGCTTCTTAGATACATACTCACTGTCTCTCCTCTGCTTTCACCACTGCTTTGAAAAGGAGGCTGGCCAGAAGAACACAACTAAAACATTATTCAACATGAACTAGGATTTCAGGATTGCATCCTAAGTGGTCACAGTCTGGGAATACTTACATATATTTACATAAATAGTTCGGCTACAGCCCAGTTTTCGAAGACAACAGTCCTGACAGTATGGACTTATCACATGAATAAAAGATGCAGAGTCAAACTCTTTCTACATAAGCATACAGCCATATTATTAGCATTCACACGTAATGAAAATAGAACCCTCACAACTCTATCCTTACAATTTAAATTTCAAACTTTGTCTTTCTAAGCTCCATGAGACAGACACATTTTTTTTAAAGAATTTATACAACTGGCATCAGATTTTTTAACATGCTAGAAAGAATTGAGCCAAAGATGATATCACAAAGTCCCTTCTGCTTAAAGGAAAATGTTAAATCAATTACCAATTGCTAGAATAAAGAAAGAACTATTTGCTGTATAAGTTTCTTTAAAAAAAAAAAAAAAACAAGTCTTCATGATCTTCTGAAAATTGCATTACGCAATGAGAAAACTATAACATATTCTCATTTCTTTAATGTAAATATGTTATAAAAGCTTCATTAGCATATGCTTTAGAAATTATAATCAAAGAGTAGCAGTCACTAGCCAGAACTTTGAAGAGTTTATAAACACACATATACAGAATATGCCTTAGAGGGTTAATATACTATTTTGAACTCAAGAACTGCAATACGGCTTAGCTTTGACACAGAACTTCCACGCCCTCTATAATAAATTCTTTTAACATCCTTCATATTTCTTCCCATGTGAATGAGTGTCCTCGGAAGAATTATCTACTAGATAAAATTTGAAGATGAAATCTAAGTCTAGACTTAGTAAAGGGGGGTGGAGACTGATCTTATAATCTATGACAGTTGTTGATTAATGAGCTGCTCATGATTACTGTAGGCCTGCCCAAACTGCAGAAGCAAGTGATACTATAGGACTGGAAAGAATGCGCTATCTGGCATGCCACACCTTTGTTGAAACTTAGAACTCACTTTGACTTCTGCTACATTTATTTTGGCCTTGAACTACCATATGTGAATGATGAGATACACAGCATATATATATGCCTCTCCTTGCTACTTCACTGCTGTTTCTGCACTAGAATTTCTGTTTGACAGAACTCATACACCGCAAGTAATGCCACTTGTAACAAACATAACGCATTCTTTATTGGGTTCAAGGTTTTCGCTTTAATCAATTGAGGTGTTCTCGCACAAACAAATTCAAAACTTCTTGAAGTACAATTGTACCATCACATCCTGAGGGAGGGGTTTGATCTCATTTGATGGTATTTATATCTATCCTTATGCATACCAACATATGTGCATGTGTATGCACATGCCTATATAGACATATACATATTATAATGCATAACAAATATATTGTATAAACATAGTACACTGTACAACCAGTAAAACTTTCATTCAACTCTATTCCAAGGTTGAAACTGAGCATGATTTGAACCGTGTATTGAATGAAACAAGTATCTTGGTAAATATTTGCTGATAACCTGATCATTTCTTATCCGTTTAAAAAACTTCTTGGCAACACGTTCAAAACTCCCCTAATTATAACTTTTAAAACATACAATGTTCTTAGAAGTGAAAATCCATGAAAGTTCCAGAAGTGCTCCCTGCATCCTGTTATGTGAGCTGCAGACTCAGACAATACAAAAACCAACAGAAAAAAGACATACATGGAAAAAAGTAGCCTTGGTGATCCCTCAAAATACACAAGAGGAACTTCATTACCTTTTAGCTGAACATCTCTCTCCTTTTGGTTTACCTGTTTGCAATTGTTTTCCTTTTTCACATTTTTGGAGATAGCTGTCTTTCTAAAAGCGCGCACAAAAAGAACATCTTAAAACAATATCATCATCATCACATCTTGAATACAGTACCTATATCAACCTCATTAGATAATGAGCCCCTCTGACTTTTCAGTGGTGTCATTAGGTGTACTTCAGGCAACAAGGCTAAAATCCCACAAATAAGCCATGAAAGCACATCCTGTGCAATGTATACCATACAAAACAGCAGTGGTTTTCAAATACTTTCTTACTGTAAATCTTAATTTTAGTCTCAGTACACACCTTTTAAGTGATCTGCTTACACGGAAAAGCAACGTAACAAAAATTAAGTCTGTGATAAATTAAGGCGTTTCAACTTCTCCTTTGATTTTGCATCTATGAGTTGTTTTTGGTACTGGGATGTTTCACTAGTACCCAACTTCTTACTTTACTCCTTGAGTGTCCCAGACCAAGACCCATGCTAGTCTCCACTAGAATGATATTCTGCCCTCTCTTATGTTTGAGAAACCACTGATTTTTGGTGTATTCAATAAACTTGCTTATGGTTGTATGTATCATAAAAAAATAACTGATAAAACTATGAAACAGCTGCACGTGATACATACTGGTGCTCACTATTTTGAATGCAGCTGGTTAAAAGCAGCTCTGGAAAAGCCCAGATATGAATCTCAAAGTAGAACTATGAGCAACTGTCTGCAAACCGACATAAATTTCAACAATTTGACAAACGGCTCTGCAATTCTCAAAGAAACGTTCCACAGGACAATATCCTCAACTGCTAACTATACCATTACACAACCTCAAATTAAAAAAAAAATACCACATTTCTTAACAGCAGGCAAGATACTCAAAAGCAACAAACTGACCTAAGTCATTCAGACAGTTCTGAAAACTTTACCCAGAAATATACTGAATCTATTGAGAATGTACTTCACCAATATCACTGAGAAAACATTAGCGTATTCATAGACTAAAGGCTAAAATGATATGGGTTATATAAATTTATACAGTATTTCTGCATAAAACTAAATTTCTAGGCACTAAGAAGTTGGACTTGCACTTAAATCGCTGAGAGGAGATCAGCTCAAGGAACGATCACCTCTTCAACATTCAACTCAGCAGTGAAGTGCAGAGGAATCCACTATTCACCTGAGCTCAGCAGAAGCAGGAGGAAAAGCTGTTTATGCCTGGGAACCATGAAATAACCTTTCAGGGAACCAGCCAGGATCAGGGGACGCTTACCCATGAGGTACTGCGGAGAAAAGCATGCCTTTACCAGGAGCTGGACGAGCTGAGCCTGAACACTTCAAGGTGGATAATTTTCATCAGGAGAAGTTAGGCTCTGTAAGAGCATTTCTTTTACAAATCCCCCTGTTTTGGGAGTAGAATTCTAATATTGCTATTAATGATGAGCAATGCAGTCGTCATAATGCTATTTACTCAACAGCAGCAAGCGTTGAACCTATCTTTCGCTAAATTATTATTCCTTCAGAATTGTTTCAATATCATTAATAAGTACCTTTAAAGATTGCCCAATTGGTACGCACTTTGTAATAATAATCAAACTGTTGACTTCAAAAAAGGGACTCAAACTGCCAAATGTGACAATATATTCTCCTGAGAAAAAGAAATGGAGAGACTACTACGACAGCAAGATTATTTTCTGAGATCAAAACTAGTTAAGGGCAAGAATCTACACAGGATGTTGAACAGCACCGTCTTATGCCACAGAAGTTACTTAATCAGCGCTTGCCAGAAAACCAGAGGCAGCTCAATAACCAGACTGTATATCAAAGTTCTGAAACACAAACCAGTCAGCACAGACTCAATATTTTCTCTCCTATTAACATAATTATTTCCTACTCAGTAAAAAGGAAAATGACATGTTAGCATTTCAAAAACAGGAGAAAATGACCCTCTAGGCTTTATAATAGACTATCAAAACAGGCACCGGTACTTTATTTGCAAATTATCTCGCATGAAATGATCGACTCAGCAAGTTTACTAGTCAACAAAGTGTGTGCTCTACCAGTTATAATCAATTTACATGCAAAGATATGTCTAAATATGAATTTAGATAAGCTCTTCTCGTTTCATGTCGATCATCTGCTTTAGTACCACAGATATGGACAGTGACCATAGTTAATGTTGCAGATACAGCAGAGCACGCACGAGTTTCATTTGACAATGGTAAGCAAACACGAAGGAAGTTGTTTCCATATAAAAAAGATCACCTTTGACTGCTAAGCCATGTTTATTTTCCAGTCAAGTAAACAAAAATACTTTCTAAGAGGCTATTTCCAGGTATTTGCTGCATATGCCATTACCATAGCAAACACACAGTATGAATCACAATAGTTTTCTCACCTCATAACCTACTGGATTTCTCTTTCAAAGTATGAACAGTATCCTGAAGGCTCCACAGTATAAAGGACCTTTCAGTTTTAGCCTCGTTGCATACAAAAACACAGTGTTAGAACCCACAAAACCAGCATTTTGGAGCTGAAGAGAATTCTAGCTTTAACAGTGTATTAGTCACATCCCTGCACCGAAAAATCTTTAATGCATCAAAAATCTAAAATTACTGGGGCAAGTGAAATAAAGTTCCTTCACAGCAGACAGTGTTTATCGGACGATATTTTGGAACAATGTAAGACATAGCTGAGTTTAACATACAAGAATGTATAATTAAAGACTGGCCTCAAAGATGTCGTAATTTAATACAATTAAATGAATATAATGGCAATGACTTCATCAAAAGGACATCATTATGTGTATTCTCAAAGTTAATTTCATTTTACTTATAATAGCGTAAGTCAGATAAATAAAGCTGAACGCTTTCCAAACGATAATCCTTTTCATTTCCCTTAACTTTATTAATAAGGTATATATTCAGCTGGAATATTCAAATATAATTTTGCTGATATACAGAAGCATTTATTATGCATACTCGGTATAATTCCTTTTTTTTTTTGTGGTGTGTAGAAGTCACTTTTATTTTGATAAAATGATACAGTAGATGTACACTTAACATCACATATAGGCTTTATCTATATAAAGAATTTACAGAGCTTTTTTATTTGAGGAATGGTAAGTTTCATACATATGAAATTTTAAAAATGCTGCATGGACCTGTGACCTCGCCAATACACAGAGCAACCTTTAGAAACTTTAATGACCATGAATTGAAAGACATATCTATCTGGGCCCAGTACAAGCGCAGACGCATTCAAAATGTTGTAACGCCAGTATGATTTGCTTTTACTTTGGCGGTTGAGATATTCCAGGCGCTGATGCAAAGTGCACCTTAATGGTCCTCCTAGCAGTACATTTATACCCACTGTATTTTAAAGGCATCAGCTTCTTCTATTCTCCCTTGTAGCGAGGAGGTCTTTTCTCCTTAAATGCAAGAAGACCTTCAATTCTATCTTTTGTTGGAATAGTCTACAAAGAGCACAGTAATATTTTATTATTGATATCAAAAATAATACCACAAAAATATTTTCATAAAAACCCTAGTTCTTGAATGCATCCAACATGCTTCATACAGTCTATACAGAAATGAAAACTGCAATGTATATTTAGACGTTTGAAAGCACCAGATCCTTTAAAGGCACAACAGAAGGCTGAGAAACAGTTTGGGAGAAGAAGGTACATCTTTCTTCTGACCAGATGACAAGGAAATCCCTAGGGTTTGGGTTTTTGTCTGTTTGTTTTGTCTTTAGGTTATTAATCAGATTGTCATGTGCTTTAAATGAGCATATCTCCAATACCGATGCTTCTATTTCCAAGATCAAAAATTTGTCTGAATGTCCAGGAACATAAAAACTCAAAATACTTCATTCACACATTTTGTTGGCAAAGAGGTTTGTCCTGATGTTCTCATGGTTAGCACACCCGCCATTAGTGGCACATACTGCTGAAGTGTCCTTCACATCATTTCACATTAAACCAAAGCAAAGCAAACCTAAGGTAGTTCTTGGGCTAGATGTATGGCAAAGTATGGCTGGCTAGGTATAGGGCTGACAGCGCGTCATTCCCTTTTCCTGAACAGTCTTGAAAAGAGGATTTTTTTTTTTTTAACCCTCAACTACATCTCCTTCCTTAAATTTCTTATAAGCATAGAGTAAGTAGAAGGAAGGTCCAAATACAACAACAAAATATTTGAAGAAGAAATCACAGAGCAATTTCAAGTTGCATTTCTGCACGTGTTTCACAACAGCGTCCAACAAACCCAGTTTTGTGGGGGTTTTTTATTACATACCTGAGCGTAACAAGCTTCTTCAATTGCTAAACCTGTTACTAAGTCCACCTGAGGAAAAAGAATAAAATACATTTAAAAGTATATTTTTGTACACTTAGTATACACCCTATTTCCTGATAGCAAACTTAAATATTGTGCTGCTATTTTCTGTAAATTCTGGAATACTTCTGCAAATTCCTTCTACACTATTTTAACATAGAAATACTTCACTGCCACGTGGTGAGAGTAGTTAGTGATTTCTGCAACAGTTTCCTTATTCTATAGTAATGTAACACTATCAAATCTTCTGATATAAAAAACATCAGCTAGTTGCATGTTTGTAATCATTTCAATTATTACGGGGAAAAAAATGGCGTGTGCTGCATGATTACTTAAAAATCGGTTTTGAAACAATCGTCTTCACAACTTCATATAAAAAAAACTGATGCCATGCTAAAAAGTAAACATAAATTCAAGTTCAAATGTATATAAAAAAGAAAATGAGGCCAGTGGTAATCCTGTACCATCACCCAGATTTGGTATACTTCTTTGTGAGGTGGTCTGAGCAGCTGAAATGACTAAATTTTCTCCTCACTGCTTCTCTGCCTCTCCTAAGTGTCAGCTGTTGCAGAACTTATCAGCTTTCCAAAAGGCCACTGCAAAGATTGTCGCTATGCACTACAAGCAGTTGGCCAAGGGGACAGAAGCAATGGCACAGAGCACCAAGAGAAGCTGTGCAATCTCTGCCGTTGAATAGGCTGAGCAAGCATTTGGCTTGACTGGCTTTGATACAGGAGATCTTGTCTGGGGGGACTCAGGATTGAACTAGACAAGCATTCAGAGTCCTTCCAACCCTAGTTCTACAAAACGATGCTCCAGTTTATTATATCTGGTAGTGAGACAAATTAGCTTGCAACCTTTTGAACCTTGGGTACCGCTGAAATAGATCTTGAATTCCGTCATTACTTGCTGTTTGAACATAATGAACTTACTCTTAGCACAACAGCATCCGAGTTTGGTCCTCAGGGCAAAAGTCATTGGTGGTGTGCTCTGCTGAACTCAATTATATCAACGGTTGCTTATGAGACTTAAAAGATCAAGCTTAAATTGCACTTGTTGGATTCAGATTTTGCATATGACAGGATCCCCTTTCCCTCGTCTCAGACTGAACTATACGCTGTCCTGGTGCAAGAACTTATGTATGTGCTTAACTTAAATATGAATAGTCCTGCTGAGCTCAGCAAGATGATTCACAAGCCTAAAGTAAAACACATGTCCAGATGCGTTCAGGGCTGGGTCTTAATGAGCTTTAGAGCTAGGTCAATAGTGTTCAAGGAGTGGCAATTCAACATCTGAAATCAGATTCCTAGTATAATTTTAACACTAGCCTGTATTAAATTATTAAAAAGCAATAACATGCCTTTTGGTCTTTAACTACTAGTTATTAAAAACTACAGCCTTGACAGACTGCTCAGTATCACTTTGGGGATTTTTTTCTTCCCAGCATTTGAAGTACAACTTACTCACAGTGGTTTACATTTACTTTCTAGCATTAATAATTAACAGAGTGCATTACTCCCTGACAGCTGTAGGGTTACTAAGCCTTGTTATGGAAATGTCCAAACAGCATCACCACTAGTCTCAGGAGTCTGAAATCAATAAATATAAACATAAAAAAATTGCATTTCACCTTAAAAAAAAGTTTGAGCCAAACAGATTTTGAAAGACTACACATGGAGAAACTAAAAACACATCTAGGAAAAAAAAAACACTACAGAAGACCTATTGACATCCTGACTTCTGCTTACTGTTATGAGAAGTATAGAGCCTTACCTCCATTCCCTGATTGATGGCCAGTTTTGCAACTCTCATTGCTAGTGGTCCCTAAAATGAAATAAAAAGCTGGTTTGCATGTCATCAAATTTTACAGGATTATGCTGTGAAGAGTCTGCACATCACTCGTGCTGTACTGGGACCCTCTGGACTTTGTACTTTTATTAAATAGATAGCAAAGGGGTCAAACATCCTAAAGTATATGACTATAGGAGGTATTTTTTTCTGCCAAATAGATATTTTCAATGTTGAGAAAAGGTGAAAGCAGCATACAGTTTTTGAAAGAGCCAAATCAAAGCAGTATGCTGGGTTTATGTTTCAAAGATGCCAAGCACTTCCACTTATGTCAAGACTGATCAATACCCTTCAAAATAAGGCCTAAAGGCTATTATAGGGCTTCACATGATCAATCCTAGTATGTCCCGATTATCATACAATGAAGACACATGAAAAGATCTGAAAATGAAATGAACCGATACCGCTTCAAACCTAAAGTATAAGAATGCAAAGCCTGCACTGGTCAGGCTATGACTGTCTTCTGCGAGCAACCGAGGCAAGAAGAGAGCAGAGGTAGCTGCACACTCCCCCTCTACTACGTCACGCTACAGTTCAGTCATACGCCTATCATTGGCATCAGCTTCTGAATATACACACATTGCTTTAAGGAAGTCGCCCACTGCTTTGGGAAAAGGCAAATGCATTCTCTTCGGTGGTGACACAGCACTGTACTTGCATGAGTCGCCAGGACCTCAGAGCTTTCCGTACGTTTCTGAACTGCTTCCAGTGTGAAGCTGTAACTCTAAATCAACATTCCAGAGTCACAGTGTAAAAATTTCTATTTTATTTTTCATGTTTGTCTTTTTATAAGAGTTTTCAAAACACAAACAATCAATGCTAAATGCCATTTTTCATCCGTAACATTTTCCACTCTGAATGGAAAGATTTTGCTGTTACGCTTGTGATTCAATAAAGTGGTTTCCTAATTATTTTCTTTAATATCACCTGCTATGAATTTGCCACCTGGGAGTCCTCAGCTGAAAAGCAGGTTTATCAAGAGCTCCAAACTCACATTCCTATTCTGAACAAATAGCTTGCACTCTATGGCGGTGAAGGAACTTGTAGCAATCAGGTATTACAAAGACTCCTGCAAGGGTGACGCTTAAATTTCTTTCTAAAATTGTTAAGTTCTCAAGCATGGGATTTCATCAAATCCCCTTTGTTTACATGTTACCTGGGCGGATGATGACGAAGCTGTGTTTTAGTGAAAGGTCAGAAAAGAAAACAAATAGTGAAAAATCTGGGAGTGGAAATATCCACGTGCGTCCAGCCCCCGGGGATGCAGAAAAAACAGCAAGCTCTGTTCCTGCTGCCACAGTCTCCAGCTCGGTGCCATGAAGGGCCGGGCCAGGCAATCAATCCCCCTCACCAATGGGGAGCTAATTATGCTAGCTCACAACGAGGCAAGCAATAAGGAAAAGGCAATTGCTAAACTCTGAACATTGGCATATGGTTGTCTGAAAACTATGCCATTTCAACTCTTGTAGTGAAAGACTGAGATAGCATGTCATTCAGAACTATAGAAGAGCATGATTCTTTCATAAGACTTATACACGCAGGCGAAAAAGCAAACAGATGGCCCACCAGTACTAAATGGGTTTTGCTTTAATTCTGAAATTACATTTGGCTTTATGTTTTCAAAATCACAGTTAAACTGAGATATGTCCACCTTCATATGGACTTGTCTCTCTTCTGAAGCATTCAGCTGCAACGGAGTAACCTGTTGAGATAATTGCTTTACTAAAAAAAAAAAAAAAAAACCACCACACACACACACACACGCTTTACAACATTTTTCGTGTCTGAAACTTGACAGCCAAAATACGCAATGCAAACAGACCATATCACAATGATACAAGCAGGATAGAGTTTATGTGCTTCACCACGAAACACTTATCAAATAACACCACCGTACACATGAGAGAGAACACTTCTGATAGCTCTCACCATAACCTGAATAACTTTGTAAAATGTAACTTTGTGAGAGTTTTTTCTTTTTACAGTTGGATCTTTCTCAGGCTTAATATTTGGTCACAACCCAAAACTAAAAGCAAAATAATCTGCAATACCTGAGGTAAAAATTCTCTTGCAAGAGCTAACGCTCTTCTGTAGGCAGCATCCCCTGCTTCATTCTGTTCTACCACATGGCTGATCAGTCCTATTGCTTTTGCTTCCTCGCCGTCTACAACGCGCGCAGAGAAGATCAGCTCCTTTGCCAAAGATACACCAATTGTGCGAGGCAATCGCTGGGTGCCCCCTATAGTTTGGAAAAAAACAGAAAACGCAAGTTTCACATCTGTCTATCCTAGAAAAGAAGACGCCTTATTCGAGTATTTTCATTTTTTATTACGTAAACAGTTACATGAGTACACAGAAGTTACACTGCCAGATAAAGACAATCTTAAATGCCTTCTTCAGTTTTGAAACTTTATCTAAAATGAAATCAAATTTTCTGCATCTCAGAAAGATATTTAAATAACTGAAAAGAGCTAATATTAATAAAGATTATGTTTGATTACAGACAGGTTACCATACTCACAGCAGCCTAATGCTGAAGGAAAACTACTTGCCAGTAAGAGATCCTATCCAAATATTCAGTTTCTTTTTAAGAGTCTACATACTTTTAAGATATTAATCACCACAATATGAACACTTTTAAAGAACTATACTCTAAGAAACACACTTTCTCTATACATACTCCATATATACACATACATATACACACACATTCTATGCTCTAAGAAACTGTAAGAAACACAAGGCTGTAGCAAAAGCTAAAATTTCCATCTATTGGGGACAAACGGTATTTCTACCCAAAAGAACTACAAATCCATGGCCTCTTCATTTCCTACTTCCAACTTACTGTAGAAATCTAAAGCCTGAATACAAAAATCAGGAAAGGATGATGACTAGTGCAGATCAGCAGAGAAATGCAGCTACCATTAGTTAGCTTTCCTTACTGTGTTAAAAGAATTTTTGGCAGATCATCATTTTGAGAAGGTCAACAAGCAGTAACTACATTAGTCAGACATACGAAGGTTGCCTAGTTATACTGAGAATTAACTAACTTTCCAGAATTAACAAGCAATGAGAATAAAAGCATAATCATTATTAAAATGAAAGAAGTAGACTCAGGTCTCAAAAGCAGATACTGTTATGAATTAAAATAGTGGAAATGGCCTTTAGGCAGGAGACAAGACCTTGAAACTATACCAGGTCTACTTCTTTGAGATACATATCCAATGTATTTAGACAGTCTACAAATAGAAATTTTTTTTCCAAATAGAGCTACTTCTGAAAGGACATATGAACATATTACATTATTAATATATATGTATATGCAACGGGAATATATACAGAGGATGTCCAAGGGGACGTGATAAAAAACTGGATAAATGTGTGTGCAGTTAATATAAAATAGATTAATTTCCACCAGAAAATGGTAGACTAAACCGGTATTTTACTGAAGCCATTCAGCTCTTTTACTGATGTGTTCTTAAAATATGTAAATACATCGCTGAGATAAAATAAACTGACTGGAGACAAATAAAAAGTTTTTACGATTCCCTGATTCATCTTTCAACTATTATTTATTATGAACTACAAGCCTCAGTACTACTGTATTCCTTTTCATAAAAGCAGACCCGGCTTTGAACACATTACATCATATGAAGACGCAGGAAGTTTGGGGGATTCTGCCTTATTTTCTCTAGAATATTACAAAATCATGGCCTATAACAAAAGATGAGATACGCTTTCAAGAAGAACGCAAACACGTTTACACTCATAATAGTTTAAACAAACTCTGTAGGACAGTAGCATTAGTAAATACAAATGATGAGGTATTCTCAGTGGTCCTACCACCGTGAGATGATTTTAGCAAAATCATCCTGATGGTACAAGGACAAGTGGTCACAGCAAGAAGAACTCTTGCTTGACAGCTCTCCAAGAGCTTTCGGCTCCTCTCATCTCAATAGCAGCCATTCTGTGTCTAGTCTCCCATGTCAAAATGACACTGCTTGCAAAATGATTTTATACCATAAGACCATGGCAGGTCCTTTACTGCTAACGTGGTGAAAGTGCTAGTAGCTAAAGACAGATGCTAGAGCCCCTGCTACTGCTGCTAATTGTGCAGCTGAAGCAGTGACTGCCAGGGGAAAAATCCTGCTAACAGCATCTGTCAGAAGAAACACAGAACCAAAAGAAAGCCCATAATCTAGGATATTTTTAATGAGGGACCAAAAAAAAAAAAATCACCGTCTCAAACAAAAGCCCTTTTAAAATACTACCAAACCTGAAGCCTACACCTTCCTCTTTGTCTTGGCTGCTTCACTGGTAAGATTCACAGAAAGAGAGTGTATTAAGCTCAAGCTATAAACCTTTAAATCACAACTGTATGCCAGAAAAAGGGAGCTGTGTTTTCAAGCTTAGCATACTGAGCTGTACCACTATCAGCAAACAGAAACATCTATTGGCTTTATCTTTTTTTCTTTTTTTTCTTTTTTCTTTTTTTTTTTTTAAATACTGAACATCCTTCCATTTCTCACCCCAAGAAGCTGTCATATCCTAATCAACTTCTATCCTGATACACATCTTAAGTGTAAATCAGAACACAGTAGATGTCTATTCTGATCTCTTTAAGAATAGTCTTCTCATAAATTATCCCTTTCACCACAGTAATGGGATCAAGAGAAGCATCAGATTTAGCTTTTGATTAAAGAAAGCTATTTGTTCAAATTATAAGACTAAGAGGCTGCATGTACTGATTTCACATCTTCTGTTCCTTCCTTGTTTGCTATGCTTAGTAATTTTTTCTACTCAACTCTCTCCCCTTCCTTTACTGTTCTCTCTCTTCTATTACTGCTTTTACCAGGAAATGTTGAAAACAATATTTAATTGAGCAACAATGTTTCATAACTTTGACCAAACAATGGATATGTTTAAGCATGAAATAGTGTTTATAGATGAAAAAAGTTCTCTTGCCAGTGTCTTACACAATAATGATTAAAGAGCAAAAAAGCAGACTATAGTCTACGTTGTTTGGCTGCCTCCCACACTGCAAAGCCATTAGGCAGAGGAGCATGTTCTTTGATTAATATTCACATAATACAAGCCAGCAGTTCACTGCATTAATCACATATATTCAGTAGTAGGAATAAGACATATACGCATGCAAAAGCAGTAAGCCTCAATTAATCAAATGCAAACAACACACCAAAATATACATAGCTACACACATTTGTGAGGAAAACACACAGAGTACGTTGGAGATAGATGTTCTGTTTTGGTAATGCACAAAGAACATATAGTTCCTGCCAACTACAATCAGAGCTAAAGGAAGTAACACCCAGTCTTCAAAGACATTACTTAAGCAGGGCATTTCATCTAAATGTAGAGCAGAATTTGATGGAAGAATAGTTGTTTCATCTTCACAAATTTAATGACATGTTATTTCAAGGACTAGTGATCTGGTATTACTCACTGTGTTGATAAAAGTATTTGACACACAGTTGCAATGTAAATGCATTCTTATCTGAGATGGTATATACTCAATGTTGTAACAACATAAACAGTTTTTTTAGATGACACTCCAGTCCATGTGAGAAGACACAGTACATGCAAGACTGCTAACTACTGGTATGAAAATTGTTAACCGATATTTTTGCTCAAACAGTTGATTTTGTATGAATATTTATTTAGTGTCAGTAATTCATCAGTTACAAAATATGTACACAACTGGTTTGGATTAAGGGAATTACGTGAACAATTCCCAAGAGTATATCCAACAAAATGAAGCAACTAGCTTACTGGAAATAGATTCATCATTCTGGCAGAGAATATCTACACTCAGTAGTTTCTCATAGCTCAAGGCTCTGTCAAAACATATTGGGAAAAATCCAAACTTTAACTCAGTCATAGTCCTATTTTTTTAAGGTCAGTAAAAAACTATTCTTTTCATCCTGTCCTTTCTATCTTTGTTTGATTTGCATTAGACTGGCTTTACTGGCAGGTATCTAGATTTCTCTTTTTAAAGACTACTGTACGTTTCTAATATGTTATTAATAACCAGTGGCAAAGCCAAAGTTTGTCAGCCACAAACTTTCTAGTTATACAAGTCAGGTTAGAAATGGCTCACATGTATCCTTGTAGTTCTTTTGCAGAAAGCTCCAAGTAGCAGCAGATTTTTCTTTCCATTGAGACAGTGACAGCAGCATGGGATGCAGAAACCTGCTGTTAATAACATGCAGGCCTCATCAGTAGGCATAGGAGCTCATAAATAAGCTAAGATGGCTAAAATGTTATTTTAAATGTAATGTTTTCAGGCATGTAACTTATATTTTAAAAGTCTGAGCAACAAATATATTTTATACTTTTAACGTACCTGCCATCCTTTGCTGAATTCAGCCATTTTCAAAACACTACTCATTCTAAAAGCTATCAAGCTATCATATTTAACATCAATTTTCCAACTGAACATTTACCAAATTAGGCCTTGATCCTACAAAGATGTACATATTGGAGCTAACTTAAATCCAGGTATAAATCCTTATGGGATCAGACATCCCAAATCCCTGCATAACAGAAAGCATACAGGGCCTTTCACTGGCACCAAGTCTTAATCACTGAAAACAGCTTAGTCTGGAGAGACACTGAGGACGCAAGTGAGAAGGTGAAAACGGAGCAGGAAGCAAAGAAACAACGCAGTCTCTGCGACGAGGAAAAAGAACTGAGTGAACGAGAGAGGTCAGCGGGCCCCAAAAGTAGTTTTTTTGGAAAAAGCACGTAGCCCTGTAAGAAGTGCACTGCAGAGCACGCCTGAGACTGACTCCAAAGCTCTCTTCAGCTTTGGAACTGCCAATTTAGCTTGCAAATCTTTGCTTTTCGCAATCCATTTTATTCATATTCATGTAGTAACTACATACGTAGATTGCTTTATTTAAAAACATATCTGAAAAATGTCTAGAATATATCAGATCTCCATACGTGGGTGGCTTAAAGGTACCAGCTTGAATCAGTAGATTGCAGTGCTTGGCTCGAGGATGTAGGAGCGCTTACGATTCATGAGGCAAAGTGTAAATATACTTTCAAAATTCACAAGTAGTTAAATCACCACAGCTTTTGTATAGAAAGATGAAACGGTTTAGGTAATTTAGAAAAACTGATTTACTTTCAAAATAGGTAATCCTCTTGTAAATTGAGAAAGACTAAAAATGGTTTCCCTGAAGACAGCTGCCTATATGAAAGGAACGGAACCAA